GCCAATACCTCGCAAATTCGCCGCGAAGTTACGGTGACGTCCCCACGGCGCCCGTGCCAGGCCAGGTGCACTTTGAGGCCACGTGACGTGTCGAAGGCTCGCTGCTGGCAGGAGGTCTCGGGACAGACCCAGCAGGTGCCATGGGTTGGCTGAGATGAACGGTAGATGCACCACCAGCTGTCGCCCCTACTGTGCCAACTTGCTGTATTTTATCCCCCCCGGGGCGCTCCGCTCGTTGTTGTGAGCGTCGCTCCACTGCCCTCCGTTGTTGCTGGAGGGCGACTGCCTCCAATTGCCCAGCAGCAGCAGCATCCTTCACGAGCCTCCTCCACAGGGGCCGATCTTGGGAGGGGTCCACATCTCCACACTGTCCCCGTGGTCTCCCGTCAAACCAGTTTGTCCTGACTACGGCAGGCGCCCTGTCTGTCGTAGTACCTGACTAGTCTGAAAAACAAACACCGGCCCGTCGAAGGCTTCAAACACGAGCCAAACAGAGGCGAGCCCTGAAACAATGAGATAATTTAAACGCGCGTGCCTTTCTGCACAGAAGAAAAAAACTGCAAGAAAAAAAACAAACACAACCCAATTCTCTTTGAAGCAACCAAACCCGTCCATGCCATGGTGATGATGAATCCCCCACCACTGGCTCACGGCTGGCCAACACCAGTGCTGCTCTGGTATATCCCCCCCCCCCCCCCCCCCATTTAATTCGTTGTACCACTGCTCCCATGCCACCCACTGCTACCCCCACTGAACTGACTTGAAGGCGTTTAACTAAATAAATAGGCGACGTGTCGCCTTCACAAGTCTGTCCCTTCACGTAAGAGCACATATACATATGTTTTTGTATTGCACAATCCATCAGCCGCCACAGCCTTCCGATTCGGGAGCGCATCATCATTTCAGCAGCATTGTTTCACGACGGGCGAAAAACGCCGGAACGGTTTCGACAGCGCAGCGTCTAAACCAGGGGTCGGGAACCCTTTTGACTGAGAGTGCCATAAAAGCCTAATATTTCTAAATATATTTCATTGAGAGCCATATAGTATTTTTAACGTATAATAAATTAAATATGTCTTACTTTTAATGCGACTTCTGGTGCTGCATGGTTTTTCTGATGGCCTTGTAGTCGGTTCAAAACGTGGTGAGATTGAGCTTCATGCAGGCGTGACCCGTGAAATTTATCTTCAAAACTAATTTCTGTTTACTTTAAAATGACACAGTATTATTAAGCAATATTACAAGTATTTTAAAATCAGTTCCAAACTGATTTTTTTTTATTATTTTTTTCAACTCAAAATTGTCTGGGAGCCATATGCCGTCACTGGAAGAGCCATATATGGCTCGCGAGCCATAGGTTCCCGACCGCTGGTCTCAACAAATGAACCCACGTTGCCTCGCCATGCACCGCCACGCGAACAACTCCGCTCATCCTCGCGGATGTTGCTCTGCTGGCCATCGAACAAAAACGGCGGTCACCTTTCAGATGCGCTTCCGCGGCCGTCTGGAACGTTCTTCCGATGTTAGGCAGCAACTGGGAGCTTTGCACGTTTAAATCACCTACGTTGGAAACTCATTTCTTTGGGATTGTTTTTTGTGTTTCGTTTGTTGCCACCTTTCCCCCCGCACCTCCGATGAGTGCGGTTGGCTCCGTGCGGTGCGAAAGAAGTTCAACGTACCGTGCATACAATCGGCTCAGTAAGGCTTTGCTGGAGTCATTTTTTGTTTAACCGCAACCTCTCGTGTGTGTATTTTTGTACACATCAACACCATGTATTTGTTGTTGTTTTTCTTTCGACGAAGCAACCAGAGACGTCGGCTTTGAGCAAAGAGAGGAAATCGACGCATCGCTCTCGTTTATTTTCAACTCACGGTAAAAAAAAAGAAATCAACAACTAACGGCACGTTTAACAGGCGTCTACAAATATGTACACGGACACACACGCGCGCGTCATAAAATAAACATTCGACGACTAAATTGTGTTGTTGTTAAACTTTCACTATCGTTAATATTACTTACAATTCATATTAATTGGATGATGAGGTCAAGCTACGGCGGTTGTAACCTTTCAGATTCTGTACACTGATTGTGCTCTGCTTATGTAGGACTGACATACACACGCCTTGATATAACAGGTCGCGCCAATGGGAAGAGATCGGTCTATACAAATGCTCTTGACGCCAAAGCTCTCTATATCCTATGTGCAAAACGTATCCTTGCCTCTCTCTACACATATACACAGGATGTAACGAAATTATATAACACAGGGAGTGGTTTATATACAAAGCCTATAGCCGGTAACCATTTTTTGCCAGCGCTCCAATGCGATTGGGTTGGAACAATGAATGATAACTTAACCAAAATAGTGTTTAGCCCTCGTAAGATATGTGGGAAGATCAGAACGTTTTGAGAATTGCATATCGAGATGCCATACCCAAAGAAACACGCTACCCTGTCACGCCCGCTTGTCTGCCCACAACTGTCGGGGCATGTTCTATGTTAGCGAGCACCTATTAAGGCGAGCATGGCGCACGTGTGAAAAGGTGGTGTGACCAGCACCTCGCGAAGTTGTGAATATCGTAATGACATTGCAACTGGTTCCTCGCAGGCTGAGTCAACCTAGGGGAGGCCCGGACCAAGGTAAAGTAAACCAAACGCCACTTGCTTTGCTGCATCGTCGCCAGGAATTGAACTCGGGTTGCCAGGATTGTAGCGCAGTCCACAAACCACGATCGCATGGCCACCCTCGAATGTACACGGGCACACAAACGTGTGCTCATATTTTGATGCACATGCACACACACGTACTCTTTGGTTCTTTCGGTAAAGTCACGTAGTTGGAAATAAAATGAAATAAATCACGACGTTTCGATTGCAACACAAGCAATCTTCATCAGGTGTGACCACAGCAAGACAATTGATTGTCACACCTGATGAATCGAAACGTGATTTATTTTATCTTATTTCTACCCACGTGACTTTACCGAAAGAACCAAAGAGTTTAGACTCCTGCAGTGACGAAAGCTTCAAGTCAAGATACACACACGTCTTTGTTACGTGTTAATGTATTCAACACATTTCGATTTAAAGCTTTCGTGACTGCAGGGATTCATCTTCTTGGTTCTTTCGGTAAAGTCACGTAGAAGGGAAATAATAAAATAACAACGCAAGCAGCCGTCCTCAGGTAAAGAACAGGTCTGTCGGAAAGACAGCATCATTCAGACGCTGTCTTTCCGACAGACCTGTTCTTCTTCAGACCTGTTCTTCTTCAGATGTGAAGGTCTGAAGAACAGGTCTGTCGGAAAAATAGCGTCTGAATGACGCTGTCTTTTCGACAGACCTGTTCTTCACCTGAGGACGGCTGCTTGCGTTGTGGCCGAAACGTCGTGAGAATTATTTTATTATGTTTTATTTTTATTATTTTATTATTTCCCTTCTACGTGACTTTACCGAAAGAACCAAGAAGAGTTATTCAACATAATTACGATCTATCACTAGGCGTGTAACAGGTGACTTCCCGAAGCAAAGTGACTGTAAATGATGCGGGATCACGATGCAATTCAACGATGTGATATATTGTTTTCTTACTTTTACTGCCTCCTTTGTAACGTTTCTCCCTTTGTTACCCATTTTTAACGGCGCTTGGTCGGGCCCATAGGCTCAAGCGTGACATTGGCATACGATTTGAATTCATTGTAAATGTTCAGGTCTCGCGAGCACAGAGTTGACGAATTAATGCGAGCATAAGAATCCATAACGATCCACGAATCACTGCATTGTCACGCTTATTCGGCACGAATTGACTCATACCTGGGCGTGATTTCTGCGGAACCCTTACACAAAGAACATCCAATATGATTTGTTTAATGTCTATTGAGCTTTCCCTCGTGTTACTGGAATCACATCACGAGGCAACCATTCTCGTTTAGAACCCTCATAGTGTTGAGAAGGGCCTCGACACAGAGGCCTGCTAGCGCACCTTACGTATGTCCTGCAATTGGCGTCCGCGGCACGGCAAACCGACTTTGCAGCGTTTCGCAGGTGGATGACGCCAAATCAAGTGAAAGCACGGATGTGCTTTCATCTGGTCCAACACCACGTGAGACTAGGCTCTAAGAAAAGCTGTCTCTGGTGTGGACCAATCAAAGACAGTGCATACATTATCAGAGTTCTGTTTTTTGTTTGCATTCCGACCGCAGGTATTGTGGTCAATGCAAACATGACTCCTTGTAAAAAAGGTGTCAGTTTTGTTGCCAGATAAACGGGTAAAAAAGCAATTATCAGCACGGATGTAGCTCTGTCTTGCCCATTCTCCTCTTGACACTTCCCATTGCCTCGCCCCACCTCATGTCCTTCCGACAGGTGCGTTAAGGGCGATTATTGCGCTGCAGCGGTTTGGTCAACAGGTAAATTGCATATCTTGAAAAGAGGGGCGTTCTTTTGAGAGGATACGTGCGCCAAAGTAAATACGTATATATATTTTGTCATTTTGTACACAGTGTATTTGTACCAGTCTACATGCACGTAGACACGCACGCACGCACGTGAACACGCGCGCGCACACTCTCCCACACTCCCGGTAACATCTCTAGCGGACCTCTCTACACCGCCATCGCACAACCGCTATCCACGAAAGATTCGAGGGGGTTTCTCGAACGCTCCGTCTCGCTATGTACATACGTGTTTTACAAACGTAGCTCTCAGAGCTGGGGTTAGACTACATTTGAGATTGTTTAAAAACCAAAAAATATATTCACAATCAAGAAAAGAGTCCCACGGCGCAGCTGAGGCCATGGACTCGAATTCGACAAAACAAGTTCAACCTGAACTGGCACCTTTTTACAAGGAGTCATGTTTGCATAGACCACAATACCTGCAGTCATAAATACAAACAAAAGACATAACTCTGATAATGTGCACTGTCCTTGTGGACCAATCAACTTCAAGGACAGTGCACATTATCAGAGTTATGTCTTTTGTTGGTATTTATGACTGCAGGTATTGTGGTCTATGCAAACATGACTCCTTGTAAAAAGGTGTCAGTTTTGTTGCCAGATAGAAGGGTAAAAAAAAAACAATTATCATATTTTTACTGACAAATGAGGTTCCCATAGTGAAGTTCAACCTGGGCTGGCAAACCCGGAATGCGAACCCAGGTTAATTCCCCCAGGGCATGAGCTCTCACACCCGTTCTGGCTCACGCGGCTCCTCCCATGGTGGTTTAGAGCGCGCAACTCACACTCCTGGTTGGAGATGAACTCGGTCCGATGCGACCGGCCAAGGTGAGCGAACGAAGTGCGACTTTGTGAGCCGTCGCAAAGTGGTTGTCGTAAAGGTCCACCGAGTGCCTGCCATAGGAGGGTGGAATTTCCGCAACTGCCGCAGTGTTGTGAAGGGGAGATGATACGGATGTAGCGATAAACCCTTTCCACAATGAAATTGATTGTTCCGATTCAGGATCACGACGCGATTCGAGTTCACAGTGTAAATGTGAAGGTGCGTGAATCTATTTCCTCTGTCGCGGAATAGACTGGACATGTGAAAAATAGCTTCATAGCTCATCGGATTCCTCCAGGATAAATAAAGATTCTGATCCTGATGGACACAATGAACGTGTATGATGAATTGGAAAAAAATCGCTTATTACCCACGCTATTTGATGCCAGTATTGTGAGCGTAAAGATCCGTGAATCGTTATATCCGCTTCTAATTTAATCAGCAAACCACTTCGACTGTTTTTGCTTTTACTCATTGTGGAGTCAGATGCTCGTCCCGTGCTCTGACAGCTGGACTGGTGGAGGCAGCTGGAGGAGCCGATAGGTGGATGGGTCAGTGGGCGAGCGAACGCGAGCGAGACGCCCTGTTGTGTGGGGTTCACGATTCACCAGCGTTGGTGGAGCACGGATTGATGGTTGGGAGTGGTGGGGGAGTCACACTGGCCGAGTGAAGAGTCGCGTCGCGAGCGCCGCGTTCGCTGCCGCTCCGTGCCGCCCGGCGGCGGAGGGTCGGTGGATCACAGAGTGATGGGAGTGGTGGGGGAGTCACACTGGCTGAGTGAAGAGTCGCGTCGCGAGCGCCGTGTTCGCTGCCGCTCCGTGCCGCCCGGCGGCGGAGGGTCGGTGGATCACAGAGTGATGGGAGTGGTGGGGGAGTCACACTGGCTGAGTGAAGAGTCGCGTCGCGAGCGCCGTGTTCGCTGCCGCTCCGTGCCGCCCGGCGGCGGAGGGTCGGTGGATCACAGAGTGATGGGAGTGGTGGGGGAGTCACACTGGCTGAGTGAAGAGTCGCGTCGCGAGCGCCGTGTTCGCTGCCGCTCCGTGCCGCCCGGCGGTTGCCGACGCGGCGGCGTTGGTGTCGGCCACCGCCCCCTCCAGCTTCTCGCACGACGTCACACCGTCGGCTGAGGGCAGAGCAACAGCGGCACGACATGAGCATCGCTACCATGGCAACATTGGGCGTGAGCATCGCTACCACGGCAAAGTTGGGCGTGAGCATCGCTACCACGGCAACGTTGGGCGTGAGCATCGCTACCACGGCAACGTTGAGCGTGAGCATCGCTACCACGGCAACGTTGGGCGTGAGCATCGCTACCACGGCAACGTTGAGCGTGAGCATCGCTACCACGGCAACGTTGGGCATGAGCATTGTTACCACGGCAACGTTGAGCGTGAGCATCGCTACCACGGCAACGTTGGACATGAGCATCGCTACCACGGCAACGTTGAGCGTGAGCATCGCTACCACGGCAACGTTGGGCGTGAGCATCGCTACCACGGCAACGTTGGGCGTGAGCATCGCTACCACGGCAACGTTGGGCGTGAGCATCGCTACCACGGCAACGTTGGGCGTGAGCATCGCTACCACGGCAACGTTGGTCGTGAGCATCGCTACCACGGCAACGTTGGGCGTGAGCATCGTTACCACGGCAACGTTGGACATGAGCATCACTACCACGGCAACGTTGGACATGAGCATCGTTACCACGGCAACATTGAGCGTGAGCATCGTTACCACGACAACGTTGAGCATGAGCATCGCTACCATGGCAACGTTGGGCATGAGCATCGCTACCACGGCAACGTTGGGCATGAGCATCGCTACCACGGCAACGTTGGACATGAGCATCGCTACCACGGCAACGTTGGGCGTGAGCATCGCTACCACGGCAACGTTGGGCATGAGCATCGCTACCACGGCAACGTTGGGCATGAGCATCGCTACCACGGCAACGTTGGGCATGAGCATCGCTACCACGGCAACGTTGGACATGAGCATCGCTACCACGGCAACGTTGGACATGAGCATCACTACCACGGCAACGTTGGGCATGAGCATCGTTACCACGGCAACGTTGGGCACGTTGCACAGGGCAGCGGCGCGGTGGTGACACTCTTGTCTCGCAGCCCGAAGGGCCCTGGGTTCGATGACCGACTTGAGCACCTTTCTACGTGGAGTATGTGTGTCTCCCCCCCCCCCACCCGTTCTGTAAAGTGCGATTGTGAGTTAGAGAGTGAGTGAGTGGAGTTTGTATGTTAGCCACCTGTTCTGCATGGAGTTTCCTCCATGGTAACTGGTATTGGCCAAACGTCCCCCAAAAATTGCCTGCAAACGACTCAATCGGGATTACGAATTACCACATCGCCTCCCCTCCCTACTGTGAAATGGCAGGACAACTCAGAACAAAAACATCTTGGGTGTTAACAAGCACAATAATGATTGTTATCGTAAAATAAGTAATATTAATTAAAAATAATCTCCCAACACGACGAAATGAAACGAAAACGTAACGGCGCTTGGGCAAGCGGCAGAGCGATGAGATGAGTTCCTGTGCAGGTGCTCGGTGACTCTTTACGTCGTCGCAGGACCGTGAGCGGTGGCGGCTTGCGGAGGCTTTCATCCCGCAGTGGACTGAACACGGCTGATGACGGTGATGACGTCATCGCGAGCGCGGCGTGGGTCAGCGTTGACCATACGGGGCTACGGTCGCGAGTACGCGATTGGCGCGCAGAGCATCACGTTTAAATCCGTCTCCGCTCCCCTCCGCTTCGTGCAAACCTCGGCAAGGTACCCCCCCCCCTCCCTCCACCCCCCCCCCCCGGTACACCACCCCCCCCCCCCCCGCTGTTTCCCAAACCCCATCCCTCACCACCTCCCCTCCCACCGTGTGATAATTCCAAAACGCCAACCCGAGCAGGTTTGGCGTCGGGCGGCACGCCGCTGCTACTTTCGCAGAGTTGGTTTAGCACCAATTACGTTTCTCATTTTCACCCGCGGGCAGCCGCACAAACACAGCGTTAGCACTCACGCGCGCGCACACTCCCACACGCGCACACCTATGCAGACACGCGTGAAGACGACAGTTTGCACCGGGGTTGGGTGTCACGACAGCCAACTTGAGCAATGCCTGTTCGGGTCGGCGCTGCGCACTGCGTGGCGGTGGACACTGACGCTACGGGTGAACTCCCACGTGCCCAGGGGGTCGACAAACCGAGCCAACAAGAAGGGGCGTTTTTGTTTCTTCGAATTCGGTAGGAAACAAACAAAAAAGCCCCTCGATATTTCAAGAGCCGCCATTGCGCGTGAATACGAGACGGTGGACCTTAATAACTAACGTCACGAAGCAGTCGTTAAAGAGCCGAATGCGGCTCGGGACCCTTCCCCGATTACTTTTCTAACGCGACCGCCACGGTTTGCTCGCCCCATGAGCTTCACTCGTTGATTCCTCAACCAGCGGTGACGCTCGACTGGACGCTGACCTGTTTCGTCCCGTCCTGCACACTCAACCACCCACACACGCAAAGATCACCCCCTATAGCCTTGGACCGACTTGTTTTAGGGCAAGTGCTGTTAGGGAACACTCATTAAGGCTGGCACGGCACACGAGGGGGTGGGTGGCCAGCAACACGCCCGGCCGCCTTTGTCTTCCCTTCCTTATGGCGATGTTTAGACACCTCGCCAAGGACTCATTTGAAGCTGAGTCGACCTAGGGGAGGCCCAAGACCGGTTCAGATAATCGGGTTTGTAGCACAGTGCACTAACCACTGCACTACTGCTCAACTAGTCACACCCACTCACTCCTACACACACACAGTCACTCTCCCACTCTCCCACTCACACACTCACACACTCACTCACTCCTACATACACACAGTCACTCTCCCACTCACATACTCACTCACTCACACACTCACTCACCCACTCACTCACCCACACACTCACACACTCACTCACCCACTCACCCACTCACCCACTCACTCACCCACTCACTCACTCACCCACTCACCCACTCACCCACTCACTGACCCACTCACTCACCCACTCTCCCACTCACCCACTCACTCACCCACTCACTCACCCACTCACTCACACACTCACTCACCCACTCACTCGCTCACTCACCCACCCACTCACCCACCCACTCACCCACTCACTCACCTACTTACCCACTCACTCTACTGCAGGTCAATACACTTCTCTACGGCTTCTGCCCTTGCACTGATCCACTTAAAAATTCCGCCCCATCACCTAAGTCCTTACAACGTTGATCAAATGTATTCACCCTTGTCCATTACACCTTCGATAGTGCTGCACGTTGCTGTCCGTTTGGCGTTTCGTGCCTCTGGGTCGATGACAAAATAATGCAACTGCATTCGTGTAAACAAAATAAAGTCGACTCAACATAAAATAGTGATCATCAACTCGGCCTTCAATGAGCAACGAGCGGAGCAGCGGACTTCAGCACTGGGGAGACAGACAGCGTGGCGCTGGCCACCCACCCCCTCGTTCACCTTGACGGCCTTAATAGGTGCACGCTAACTGAACACTTGCCAGTAGCGTAACTCGCATGGGGAGCGGTGGTGTAACGGTTAGCGCTGTGCTGCGTTACGAACTCAGCGACCCGGGTTCAATTCCCGCTCACGGCCAACACCGGTGACGGGTATCTGAACCGGTCCCGGGCCTCCCCTAGGTCGACTGCGATGTGTAAACATCGCCACTGTGGAGACAAAGGCGGCCGGGCGTGGTGTTGGCCACCCACCCCCTCGTTCGCCTTGCCGACCTTAATAGGTGCTCGCTAACAGCACTTGCCCCTACAGTCTGTGAAAGCTATACGGGGGATCTTTGTCATTTGCCAGTAGCGTAACTAGCATGGGGACAGGGGGTACCTAGCCCCCCCCCCCCCCCGCCTGGTGACCAAAGCTCCGAGTTGGGCCATCCCCCCCGCCCCACGATCACCACCTTGGGAGACAAATCAAACACTGGGGCCTCGGTGTTTGATTTGACCGAGCTGACGATGCCGTGACGATGCCGCTGGTGCCTGCGTGCGACGACGGCTCGGCTTTCAAAACGTCACCGGAGAGTGCCCCCCCCACCACCACCGCCACCACCGCCGCCGCACCCCCCATCCCACCGTGGCGCATTCCTCGGTTCCTCGGGAGCCGTCCTCCCCTCGCCAGGAGTGCGCGAGCTTTCGTGCCGCTTCGCTCGGCTCTCGACGCGTTCAGGGAGACTCTGGGGGCGTCTGTCGTGAGGCGGGGTGGAGGGGGGGTACGGTGCCTCGCTTTCCCAGCCACACCGGATCGAGGCCGCGACACGCGCGGCTCAAAAGCAACGAGGGCCGTCGCTGATTCCTTGAGCCCAACGATTTGCTTGGTTTGACGATCGTCGTCAAACCGCTGCCTGGTGAAGGCCTCCCCGCGACTGGCCGATTGACCGTACTTCACCGAGCAGGTCAATGTGTGTGTGTGTGGGATGAGGTGGCAGCAGCTGAATCGAACTCAGGCGGGCCGGGCTCACTGCGCTAACCGGCGTCGCCACAGCGGCTCACCCGCGCCGTGTCCGTGCGTCGTGACGTCCGCGCGGCGAGCCGTGGTCGCCCCGTGCGTGTTGATCGCCAGCATCCGGTCCACCTGGCCCGAGAGGCCGAGGCTCTGGACCGTGCCGTGCAGGAGGGCGGCGTCTGCGGCACAACAGCAGTGTCAGTAACAGCAGTGTCAGCAGCAGCAGCAGTGTGAGCAGCAGCAGCAGCAGCAGTGTCAGCAGCAGTAGCAGCAGTGTGAGCAGCAGCAGCAGTGTCAGCAGCAGTAGCAGCAGTGTCAGCAGCAGTAGCAGCAGTAGCAGCAGGGGTAGCAGCAGCAGTGTCAGCAGTAGCAGCAGGGGTAGCAGCAGCAGTGTCAGGAACAGAACAGCGGTGTCAGCAGCAGTAGTAGCAGTGTCAGCAGCAGTAGCAGTGTCAGGAACAGAACAGCAGTGTCAGCAGCAGTAGCAGCAGTGTCAGCATCAGAACAGCAGTGTCAGCAGCAGCAGTGTCAGCAGCAGTAGTAGCAGCAGCAGCAGTGTCAGCAGCAGCAGCAGCAGTGTCAGCAGTAGCAGTGCAGTAACAGCAGTAGTTGCAGCAGTATCAGCAATGTCAGCAGCAGTAGCAGCAATGTCAGCAGCAGTAGCAGCAATGCCAGCAGTAACAGCAGTGTCAACAGCAGCAGAACAGTAGGAACAGCAGAAACAATAGCAGCAATAATGCAAAAATAATCTTTTCAAGTTTTAATGCACCGCGAGACAACATCCGCTCACTCTCGTAGAGAGAGAATGACCCAGAGGCACGAGCAACCACAGACACGCGGGAAGGCAGCAGCTGCTGGATAAGCCGGCACCAATATTTTCCCAAGCTCTGCGATCCTCTATATATGTTAAATCGTTCTTGGCCAAAAGGTGTGAATATAAAAAAAAAGTGGTGACAACCGAGCTCACTATATCCCTCCATGAAATTCCCGAGCATCATCGACTACACGTGCCTGCTAACCAGCGGTAGACACCTCTGAAGTGTAACCACTGCTAGATGAAGCCCGGTCTGCCGTCGGGATTTGTTTGGCCACACGTCACCGCACCGGTCCGTGTGGGCGAGGGAAGCGAGCTCGGACGTCGCTTGCCGCCGACGTCCGGTTAGTCATGCTCAGTTCTGTTCGCTCTCCACTTAGTCGTGCCTGGCGGCTTCCGGGATGAAGCGAATAAACATCGACCGGCCTACGTCAGACGTCTGAACTGGTTGGCGTCAAGAACCGTCGAGGCCAGTGGCGGCCGCCGCTGCTGTACAATGAGCTGCTCAGTTCGGTTCCTGGAGAAGCTCCCAGCACGTGGGGTGAAACGTCGGACATGCGCGGAATGGCTCAAAAACAACAGCCACAACCGCTAAGACGGCCTCTTCACTGCCCATGCGCTCTGTTTGCCTCGCAGATGATGTCTCACGTCTGTTTGTGTCCCCTCGTTGTCTCTGTGTTGCAGTCTCTGTGGCGTTGTCTCTGTGTCGTTGTCTCTGTGGTGTTGTCCGGTGTCCCCTCGCTGTCTCTCTGTGTGGCCCTGCTCACCAGCCATCTGCAGGGCGGGTGTCTGAGCGAGTCGGCACAGTCCGGTGAGCCGGGCCTGCAGCTCCCTCTGGACGGCGCCCACCACCTCGCCGAGCAGCCCGGCCCTCGCCACGCCTCGCCAGAACCGCAGCACGTGGTCTAGGGGCAGCGGCACGCGGGGGGACGCCTCCGTTAGGCAACGCACGCCATCGGCAGGCCTAGGCCTCGGCAAGGCAAGGTAAAAGTTAAAAGGTAAAAACAACGAGCCTATTTTTACCCTACCCTTTACCTTACCCCTTGGCATGTCGACATCTTTACCCTTCACCTTTACCCTTTTACCCGGTAAAAAGGGTAAATTACCTTTCCTTGCCGAGGCCTAGTCAGACCTTTCAAAATGTTCAGGCGCAGCGCTGAGACTGCTTGCTCATGCCACGGCTGGGCGGAAGATGTGTGTCAGTGTAGAAGAGTAGGCCAAATATCCCCCACAGTGGCTCTTCATAGCTCCCTCTGTCGCTAGCTATTAGCGTTATTATTAAGCGTCTTCGGGACTTTCTCTTCTGCCATTTCAATTCAATTCGGTGTGTATTTGTTACACAGAAAATACCATTTAGCCAGCAACCCAGCTAGTTCGGTGACAATAGGCCTGCAGCCACGAACAACAACAACAATGATAATTGTTTTTTTACCCTTTTATCTGGCAACAAAACTGACACCTTTTTTACAAGGAGTCATGTTTGCATTGACCACAATACCTGCGGTCGGAATGCAAACAAAAAACACAACTCTGATAATGTATGCACTGTCCTTGAAATTGATTGGTCCACACACGAGACAGCTTTTCTTCGAGAATAGTCTCACATGGTGTTGGACCAGATGACGCCAAAAGGCGTACGAAAAAGGTGTCAGTTTTGTTGTCAGATAAAAGGGTAAAACAACAACAATTTTAAATGAACCGTGTGAGTCTTCTGTATTCATTACTACCACCTCTTCAGTGTCGCTATCCATTGACTTTCGAACTTTCAATTCAATGTTTATACGTTTCATGGAAAATCCCGTTTAGCCAGTTACCCAGTTAGTTTCGGTGGCAACGGCCCGCAGCTGCTAACAACTGTTGGGGTGGAGAGGAGCACAGTCAACAGCCAGCCAGGACACTCGAGATATAGATGATTGTAACATTTTAAAACAATACAAATATTCAAAGAGGTCAAAAGCACACTGACGTCAACACCACCAACAGTCTCTATCCCTCTTTCTCCGCTCTCATAAAAGCGCCCCCCCCCCTCCTCTGGACACAAACACGAGACATGTAATGTCTCCCATGTTTGCACAAAGAGTCTCGAGACGTAGCCATATTCAGATTCCTGAATTGCATCACGCCGACACAGCACAGGGGCCGTTGCGACACCATGAGACACAGCACAGCAGCGACTGGCCGTGCTATCTTTTCACCCGGCAAACGCCTCGACCAGGCCGCAAGCAAAAGTCGACGCGGTAGCAGGTGACGATGAACGCTCGACAAACCGTGCGGTGCCGCTACCTGGCAAGTCGCTGTCCTGTTCGGATTCGGGGGAGCAGCTCTGGTCGGCCCGGTCCGCTCTGGCGGCCATCGTGAGCTTCTGTGCCCGCTCCTCCCCGGCGTGCATCCCCGCCGCTTGCCCGTTCATCATCGCGGCCGCGGCCGTCGCCGTACCCACGCCGAAGCGTCCCCTTTTGTTGCCGCCACCACCCACCAAGGCCTCCCCGCTCCGTTTGACGGCCTCCCTCGCCCTCAGCGAGCCGTCGTGCCCCGGCCGCCCGGCCGCCCGGCCCGCTCCCTCGCCCATCGCGTTCGCTCGCCTGCTCTCCTCCGACCACTCGCGCTTCACGGCGTCGCTCAGGCTGCCGTGCCCGTTGCTGTACGCCAGCCGCTGCGCCGCACCCGCCTGCTGCTGCTCCTGATGCTGCTGCTGCAGCTGCTGCAGCTGCTGCAGCTGCTGTTGCTGCTGCTGCTGCTGTTGCTGCTTGTGGCCACCGACGTTGAGGGCCGTAGCGTCCTCGCCCGCTTTGCTCGCGCGCTGCTTGATGACGCCCCTGCGCTGGTGCTGCCCGCAGCCGCTCACGACGTAGCGGCGGTCGCCCTTCAAGAAGCTGCCCGGCCAGCCGGAGGGCCGCCCTCCACCGGGCCACAGGGACGCGGCGGCGGCAGCGGTGGCGGCGCCCCCCCCGGGGCCGCCCAGGCCACGGGGCTCATGCTTGGTGCTGCGGCAGCTGGAGGAGCAGGCGGTGTCGTGCTGGTAGAAGTCCAGCCGTCCGGCATCCATCACCTTCCTGAGGGACGAGCGGGGTGCACGAGGGGGGCCAGCGGCCGGCAGCCAGGCGTGAGCGAGCAAAAGCACAAAACTATTATAAAGATTAAACAAAAACAATTTTTAGTTTACCAGGTAAGGCCCGCTGAGCTATATCGCTCTTTTTTGAGAAGCGACCCGGCCACCACAAATGGTAGGTCAACTACTCTGAGCGCATCGCGTTGATTTTCTAAATGTGGAGTGGAAAACCGGAGGATCCGGAGGAAAAAAATGTGCAAGACTATGGGGAGAACACGCAAACTCCAAGTATTCAGCCGACAGGGTCAGGATCGAACCCACGACCTCCTGTGTGCCAGGCAAGCAGCTATAGCAACTCACCCGGATTATCGATAAAAATAGGGGATGATTCAAATGACGGCTCAAATTACCGTTGCGTTCATGTAACGAGCTAATGAGCAAAAAAAATACAAATAAAATACATCTAATGCTTTAATATAGTGTCGTTTATAAAAATTGCATCTCACAATCGCTGAGTACACAGACCAAGCTGGAATGCTGCCGGGTAGAGAGCCGGTGACAATAATTGCTCTGCAGCCAATTAGGGAGCGTCTATTATACTTGTGAGAGCAAACCGGAGCGCCTGCATAAAACGTACACATGCGAGGGGGCAACACTCTATCCCATACAGACAGGTGATATGAGTCCACGTCGCATTCTCCCGGTGAGTAAGGGCACGGAATCTCCTCGACTCCCACCACAGGGAGGTAGTTTCGCAACGTCTGTGTGATCCACCACCCCTCGCTGCGTCTACACCGCTCGATTACAGGCCACATGCACAGCCACCACCCCCTGGATAATCAAATATTTCTGATCGCTATCTTGTTCCGAACTATCGTCTCTCACGTCACCTGATCTATATTGTGTCTACATCTAAGTCATCTCGCTACGTCTATATCTCTTGTCTAAATCCCTTCTTGAAGAGGAGTTGAACCCACGATGTTAAAATGCAGGCGCCGTAACCAGTGCCACCTTGCGAGGTTCTTGGTGTTTGTTTCTGGTGGCAGGGTGCGCTGTAGGTTTCAGAACCAGAATCAGAATATATATTTATATACTGGAGGGATCCGATGAGCGACACATTTATTTTTCACAGATGTCCAGCAGGTTTGCCTGGCATGGTGGCGCGTGCCTGTGATCCATCACTATGGAGGCAAGGGCTGGAGGATCACCGAGTCTTGCCAACCTCCATAATCGGCTGGGCCATGGTGTCGAGTCATGGCGTCTAGTCACACAATCCAGTTAACTTCTACGCCCACGAAATGTAATGCGTTTTTTTTTATTTATTATATCGCGTAAATTTATAAATGTGTCGCTAAACCCGCCACCACCCGACACGGCCAATTAGTAAGGTTTGTCGCGCAAACAGAAGGTGCCGCAACATTTACAATTCGAGTACCGCGACGTTTCGCCGGTAGCTCTCTCCAGGCGGCAGCCAAAGTTGTGGAGACATTGCCCCGTCCTGTTTCGGTCTCATGGGTAATATTAATCGCAATAAACCTACGTGTTAAATTGCCTGCGGTACACCTGTCAAATCCCTGCGCGTGAGAAACAATGAGTTGCCACGTTTTGCATGAAGGTGGATGAATGAGTCTAAATGTTACATTTAAGTGAATGCAAAAAAAAACTAAAAAAATTGACAAATAAGAGAGACGGTGAAGGCGCGGGCGACCTTCATCCAGCAGTGGATAGACCATGGCCAACGTTGATGATGATGACGACAATGCTAACATTACATTTAGACCACGGGAGCAAACAAGTCTGTACAAAACATACACAGAAGCCAAGAATGAATGGAAATGGGACGGTAACTAAAAAGAGAATCGAATCGCAACCCCGAATTACAACGATTCGTAGGATCGTTTGCTGGGAGAGGGCGTGACTGATTTCTGAGCTGAGTGTCTTCATTCAATCCATTTATACAATGTTGAGCCAGGCTGGCCAGGATTGGGCAAAGGCGATTCACCAATTTTCATCCAGGAGGGCACGGACCTATTTATTAACGCATCGCTAAAAGAGCAAACAAATACCTATGAGTGTGTCCTAATAGTTACGAACGCACGAGTGAAAAAAATTAACAAATAGAGAGCAAAGTCACGTAGGTAAAAAAATAATAAAAGTAAAATAATAATAAATGAAAATAAATCAATTTAATTGATTTATTGTGATTTTATTTACTTACTTTCATTTATTATTATTTTACTTTTATTATTTTTTACCTACGTGACTTTACCGAACAAACCTAAGAGTATGAATCCTTGCAGTCACGAAATATTCAAATCTAGAAATAGAGAGCAGTTGGACACGAGCAGAAAAAAAATTGACCGACAAAAAAAACCCGCAGCAAAACAACAACAACAAAGCGAAGAGCTTGGCTCGCCGACCTGAGCATGACCCCTCCGAGGCGGATGGCCCTCTTCCAGTCCTTGAGGCTCGCGCGCCCGGCCAGACACACGAACTCCTTGGGGGTGATGAGCTCCTCCTTAACCTGCGCAGACAAAACACGGTTGGAGTGTGGGGGGTTAGGGGGTGGGGGGGGTCTGCGTCGTGAACCCGCGTTGCTCTCCAAAAAGAGGGACGCCACCGAAGACGCAAGACGGCGCGACGCCTCCTTGCTGTCACCCCCCCCCCCCCACCACCATCACCACCACCACCACCGTGCGCGAGCCGTGACGTCGTAGCGATACGCCAATGCTCCCTCGCCCCCCGCACAGATTGGCAAAAGCCGTCACAATTTTGGGAAGGTTGGGAAAGGGGGGGGGGCCGATTCGATTTCAGAATCTGATAGTTTTTTTTTTTACCACAACAACAAACGCGAGCCCCATACAACACGCCGAAAGAGATCTCGGTGATGGGACCCGCGCGAAAAGAAGGGGGGGGGGGGTGGTAGATGGGGTGGTAGATGGGGTGGTAGATGGGGTGGTAGACGAGGTGTAGGGCCCCATGCTACCCTGGCTTTGTGGGGGACCTCGCGTTGTTCGGTATCGTTTTTGAACGGCCCCCATTCGCATCGTTCCTGGCTTGTTGAGACTCGTCCGTACAGGTCAGGCTTGTCTACCGTTTTGGGCGAGCGTGTCACGTCAGCGTGTGATTTGCATATCAATCTGCATCCATCACCTTTCCTGCACTGTCGTATTTTTTGCATTGTTTGTGGTTGTAACTTTCTGAACCCGCCCCCTACCAGACATCTGTGAAAAAGATCTTCATAGCTGATCGGATTGGTCCAGTACACATACATATTCTGATTGTGTTTAAGCAGTTCTGAACCTGCACGAATCGATGCATCAGAATCCAGTTTCGATCGATTAAACGGTGCTTCTCGCCAACCCCACGACCCAGGCCGTGTGTCCCGGGCTTGTCTTGACGTAAGTTTGAATCTTCGTCACGTTCTCACGTACAGCCTTGAGAAAGCATCAATATTATTTCCACACGGTAAGTAAGGGCCGTATCTTTGCAGTGATTGTTCCTGATTTTCTAAACTCATGCTGGACACCCCATGATACAGCATCTTAGGCACACATCCAGAGGATCGGAGCTGCTAACGTCTATGAGATGGTGGTCATCATCGTCAGTGCGCCATCCGTTGTGATACATCTCCGCGCCGTGGCACGGCAGGCCTCAGTCGCCACAGAAGCCATCGAAGGAAAGCAATTGCATACGAGCACTGCTCGTTGCGGTACAACGTCGCGCGTCCGAGTCGATGGGGACTGAGGTACAGGGCGGAGATGTGAAAAGGTCAGACACGTGTGAACGTCTCGTAGGAAACGACGGCTGCACACGTACTGCTCTGTACCGCTCTGGGCGAAGCCGGTTGATTGGTGATGGCCAGATTTGCGATGGTCAGATGTGCGATGTTGTACTTTGTTAATCTCTGATGTGGTAAATTTTTGTTGGTGTATGTACCTTTTGTTATTCTACCATTTCTTGACTCGTTTATTCATGTTTATTTTCTGAGGGTTTAATTGAATGAATAATTGCCATACATAGAATGTAGCCCTGAATGTAATTATGCATATGATTGTCGCGCGGCATTGTGAGATGCAATGAGCATGAGTGACTCTCTATAAAACGTAAATGATTCATTTTATTATCCTTTTAGCTTGCTGTCTTTGCACGCATGGGAAGATTGGAGATGTTTGTGTTTCAGGTGTCATCTTCCTGCGTGCCACAAACACTGAAATATCAAACCCTCCGCGGCACGCGGCAGATGGCACCTCCACTCCGCATCGTGCCTCTGAAATATCCGCCCTGGCATTTGATCAGACGGTGTTGTAAATCCGCTGGAAGAAATAAAAACGACAACACTGCACAACATTCTTTTCACGATTGTTTGCGCCAGATGCTGAAAATTCGGCAAAACGAACGTTCGTGTAATGATCGCGAGAGCGCGGCAGTTCTAAGTTGGCCGTCGGTTCTAAGTTGGCCGTCAGCGATGTGTGCGTGGTTTTGCTGTTCTAAACACAGTCGCTGAGCACAAGGCCCAAAGGTCCACAACACCGAGTGGCCAGCAGCAAACAGCAACTTTCAAAGCTGTAATAGATAAAGAGCGTGGTATGTGCTTCTTGAATAGAGCAAGGTTAGTGTTGTTAGAAGAGGTTCGGGAAAAGAGAGGATGGGAGAGGGAATTTTAAAGTGGAGCAGAACGAGGGAAGAAGCAGAAAGAGAGGCGTTGTGACCTGCAGTGTGGTGAGTGGGTGGGTGGGTGAGTGAGTGGGTGGGTGGGTGAGTGGGTTAGTAAGTGGGTGGGTGGGTGAGTGGGTGGGTGAGTGGGTGAGTAGATTGATGAGTGGATGAGTGAGTGTGTGTGTTGTGACCTGCAGTGTGGTGAGTGGTTGAGTGAGTGGGTGAGTGGGGGAGTGAATTAGTGAGTGGATGAGTGGGTGAGTGAGTGTGTGTGTTGTGACCTGCAGTGTGGTGAGTGGGTGAGTGAGTGGGTGAGTGGGTTAGTAAGTGGATGAGTGGGTGAGTGGGTGGGTGAATGGGGGAGTGGATTAATGAGTGGATGAATGAGTGTGTTGTTGTGACCTGCAGTGTGGTGAGTGGGTGGGTGAGTGGGGGAGTGGGTTAGTGAGTGGATGAGTGAGTGTGTTGTTGTGACCTGCAGTGTGGTAGCCGAGTGAGTGAGTGGGTGAGTGAGTGAGTTAGTGAGTGAGTGGTTGAGTGAGTGGGTGAGTGGTTGAGTGAGTGAGTGGGTGTGTTGTTGTGATCTGCAGTGTGGTAGCCGAGTGAGTGAGTGGTTGAGTGAGTGGTTGAGTGAGCGTGTTGTTGTGATCGGCAGTGCTGTGGTTGAACACAGGGCATGCATCGAACCGTGCGTGTAGGAAACAATTATTTTCAGCTCGTAGATATGTTGCATGGTCTGCAATGGGTTCATGTGACACCAGCCACCACTATATTCACCACAATAGAGAAAAGAATAATGAATTATGGAGTCAAATTGCCAACCTCAAAACCGTAAAAAAGTCTTGACATCGTGGGGAGCGTGAATCGACCCAAGAACAATTCAGCTTTAATGGAACCCAATTAGTTAATAACCGAGAAATGTTTTCCTGTTAATTAACTTAAAACAGTGACTATGAATGTCACAACGTGCATATGAAGTTGGTTAAACTCTACAGTTTAACACGATAATATTGGCTCCTTGCTGCGTAGTGGTGGCATGGTAATTGGCGCACTACTCTGCACAATTCGGCAACCTGAGTTCAATTCGTGGCCACGGCTAATCCTTCACTAACCTGCACTGATCAGCGGGGGTGAAGCACAGGCAGTCAAACTACCGTCATGACCGGCATGGCGTGGACAGGCCTTCATCCACCAGTGGATTGACATTAAATGTTGGGCCTTGAAGTTCAAAGGTTGAATTACGTTTCATTGTCCTATAACTTTATGACGATCAACCTGGTACCAATGGAACTGCAATTGTAAGTATTTGTTCATTTATGTAGGAGCAGTGGCTTTGATACCGCCAATCTATAAAACTATAAACTATTTTTATTTTACCAGGTAAGGCCCACTGAGCTATAGAGCTATATAGCTCGTTTTCAGAAGTGCCTTGGCCACAAATGATAGCTCAACGAAGTGGCTTATCACATGAAAACTTATAGTAGCCAAATATGAATATTTCTAAATTTAGAGGGAATAATCAGTGGACCCAGAGAAAAATCCACACAACCACAGGGAGAGAGAGAACATGCAAACTCCTAATATGCAGGCATCAGGGTTGGGATCGAACCCATGCCCTCCAACATACCAGGCGAGATAGTTAACATCTCACAACCATGGAACCCAATCATAGCCAAAGGTCCCCTATTTAGCCTTAAACACTCTTGTCATTGCTGTTAGAGAGTGCCTATTAAAGCCGGCATGCCAGAGTGTGTACCATGAGCAAGCCTGGCCGACTCTGTCTCACCAGCGCTGATGTTTTACAAACTGCGCCAGGTTTCATGCTCAATCGGGAGGCTGGAGTCAACCATTGGCCCAGGGAGGGGTCCAGAAAGCGCTCGTCCACTCACGTCCACGGAACACACACCGCCCGGATCGGAGTGGCCGTGTGCGATCCGCTGCGCCACCGACTCAACGTGGCCGTTCCGCAGCATTGAGGAGTGGGGGCCCCAAGCTGAAGGAATCTGAGCCCCACCCCCAACCCTGCTGAAGGCTCAGCCCCCCTTTGAAACTCTGACCGTACGGTGAGTCCTCGCTTATCGCGCGGCGTTCACACTATAACGCAGTTCCTCCATTGGGGAATGCTTTTCGGACAATGCGGAATGCGCGCCGCCGTTACAACGCGTAACGCGCCCGTTAATACAACGCGGCTTCTGAGCGGTCGTTGAGGGAGTACAGTACGCGGGATGATACAGAAACGCGGCAGCATACCCTCGGCTATCTGTCGCGCCGCCTTGACGTGTGCGCGTCGTTCATCGTTTCTCGCCAAACTTCGTCGGTACGTTATTGTTTACAGGGACTTCTTTTTCACTCAACGCATTTTTCGCTCAACGCGGCACTTTTCAGGAATGCATCTACTACTACCGCGTTCAACGGGGACTTCCTGTGCAGGGATGATGATGATGCGGTCCGTTTTGAACCGACGTGCCCTCTGCTGAGTCTACGTAAAAAAAGTCACGCGGCACGGCTGGTCCGCGGGTGCGATGCTATCAGAATTCACGATCATAACATAATAACGGACGCTTCCACACAGGCTGCAAAACCCGCCTAGCATTGTGCGTGGCTCACTCACCAGACAACCACACCTCCCGTGCCCCCCCCCAAACCCCGCCATGCCTCCCCTCCCTCCCCCTCCGTGGTTCAGCTCCCCGTTCTTCCCAGCCACAACCGCAGCATCATGGCCGGAAACACGGCCTCGGCTTCCTTCCCCTGCGCCTTTGTTGTGAGCACAGAGGCGGCCCTCTGCGCAGACTGAGGGCGGCGGTGGGTGAGCAAGCAGAGAGTCCAAAACCAAAGTTGTCGTCGTGAACTGTCCCCCGCCTGCTC